GGGGGGATGCTCAATAACATCTATTATGCTAAATAACTCACTTCTCATTCTGTTTATTTTCTGCAAGCTTTGTAAAGAGAGAAATTTAGTTGTTTAACTTAACAATATATGTTTATGAAATATATGCATTTAATTATGTAATATCCATCCTTTTTTGTGCCTTTACTGTGTTAGGCATTACAGATAAAATAGTGAATGGAATATACAAAGTCGTTGGCTTTAAAAAATAAAAGTTTAATGGAAGAGACACGAAAACAGGTTATATATGAGAATATGCAGGAAGGGTACCTAAGCTAGATTTTAAACTAAATTTGGAATAATATCTGAAATGTGAGCCAGAATTAGTCATCTCTTAGTGATACATTTTAATTTTGAATAATTAATATTTCTCTATGTCTGTGCTTATCTATCACACATTGATTTTTTACCTATCCCATGGAGGCAACAGTACAAGAATGAAGCAGTATCAGTTATAATATATATTGGAAGTTGCATAATTTATTGTTACCATATCCTACAATTAATTTTAAATAGCATATTTGTACACATTTTCCAGGTTCTATACAGGGCATTTTTCACATCTTTGTTCCTCAAACTATAGATCATGGGATTCAGCATGGGTATTACCAAAGTGTAAAATAAAGAGGCCGTTTTATCAGTATCAAAGGAATGACTGGATTTAGGGTGCACATACATAAAGAATAGAGTCCCATAGAATACAATTATCACTGTCAGGTGAGAGCCACAGGTGGAGAAGGCCTTGTACCTGCCTTCTGCAGAATTCATCCTGAGTACGGTGACAAGGATCAGAATGTACGACACAAGGACTATCAGAAGAGATGAAACCAAATTAAAAACTGAGAAGATCAGAATTATCAATTTAATTTCACGTGTGTCTGAGCACAACAAAGATATCAAGGGCAGGCTGTCACAGTAGAAATGCCTGATGACATTATGGCCACAAAACAATGAAGTAAAAATTTTTGTGATAGTCAGCAAAGACAAAAAGACACTGTAGAGATAAGGCACTGCCACTAGCACTTGACATAACCTTTGTGACATGATAACTGTGTAAAGCAAAGGGTTACAGATGGCCACGTAGCGGTCATAGGCCATTGCCAACAGAATGAAAATTTCACTAATGATGAACATACTGAAGAAAGTGAGTTGGGTAGCACACCAATTATAGGAGATTGTACGTTGATCTCTGCCAAAATCTGCTAGCATTTTGGGTCCCACAGCTGTTGAATAACCAAGATCAGTGAACGCCAGATGTCTTAGGAAAAAGTACATGGGTGTATGCAGCCTAGAGTCTATCTTGGTGAGGATGATCAAGCCCAAGTTACCCACAACTGACACCA